CTGGCGGCGCTCCCCCCCCAGCGGCTGCCTCGCCCCGGCCGTCTGCTCCCGGCTTGTGACACTAGCGCAGACGTGACAAGCACCCCCGACCCCAAGGAGCATCCTCCTCCTGCCGAGCAGCCCCCTCTGCCCAGGGCACAGCCCTCCGGCCGGGGGCAGCAACGTGCCCGGTGCTCATAGCAGGGTGAGGGGCCGCGGGGCGTGACAAGCACCCCCGACCCCAAGGAGCATCCTCCTCCTGCCGAGCAGCCCCCTCTGCCCAGGGCACAGCCCTCCGGCCGGGGGCAGCAACGTGCCCGGTGCTCATAGCAGGGTGAGGGGCCGCGGGGCGCGGAGACGTGGCAAGCAGAGAGGGAGGCCTCCAGAAGTGCCCGCGGGTGGCGCGACTCCTCCGGAAGCAGCCCCGCATGAGAGACGTCGCTGAGACTTAGCCAGCCTTATCCCACCCGAGCTAGGGCCCCAGCAACCCTGCTGGCACTTTGCTCCGGACCCTCTCCTGCACGGGCCTGTCCTGCTGCTGGGAGTTCCTCCCTCGCTGTAGCCTCAACAGCTCCTGCCAGAGCCCTGCCCCCCCCACCATGACCCGGCCTCATCAGGCCTCAGACGGGCTGTGCTGGGCCCGCGTGCACGTAATGAGGGTTAAATCCACTGGCGGGGCATCTGATACAGTTCTGGCTACCGCAAATGAACCCCAGGCCGCCGCCAGCGCCTTTGGCCAGCCCCTGCGCTGTTTGGCTGGGGGACATTGCGCGTGTGCAGGACACCAGGCACACAGGGGTAACAGCTCCAGCCTGGGCCAGAGCAGGGCCGAGTGCCAACTGAAAGTCTTCTAACTGGCGCGTGGGAGCAGGCGCCTGTCTGATTTCCGCTGCGTCCAGGGAAACAGGCCTTGTGCGTTACCAGCACTGCAGCGAAGACACAGCAGATCCTCCTCCTCATGGAGACCACCCTGAAAACTAGCTGCCCACTGGGTCAGAGCGTAGTAACAGCACCCGTGCGCCCATGTAACGAGTGCCAACTGAAAGTCTTCTAACTGGCGCGTGGGAGCAGGCGCCTGTCTGATTTCCGCTGCGTCCAGGGAAACAGGCCTTGTGCGTTACCAGCACTGCAGCGAAGACACAGCAGATCCTCCTCCTCATGGAGACCACCCTGAAAACTAGCTGCCCACTGGGTCAGAGCGTAGTAACAGCACCCGTGCGCCCATGTAACGCCTGGCTGTGCACAGCACCCAGCCCAGCGAGGCCCCGCCCTCACCTGGTCGAAACATTGTGGGCCCAAGGGAGCTAGGTCCACGCAGCGTGGGGCAGGGGAGGCTGCTGCTTTCACGCCGCGCTTCTCCCACTTCTTCCCTTTGCGGCCCCCAAACCTATTTCCAGCAGAGGTCACCTGGAGACGGCCGGGTCACAGCCAGACTCCACCAGCTTTCCTCCCAACGTGGGGAGCCGCTTTCGAACCACGGATGTTGCGCCAAGCAGAACAGCCCCGCCAGCTCTAGTGTCCCGACGGCCGTGCACGGACACTGAATGTACCAGTGGTGCGCGGGCTGGCCGGACAGGTGACTCGTACGTAGGTGTCAGCCAGCACCAAAACACAGGCATGTCAAACCCAGCCTGCCTCTGCCCGGAAAGAGCCGCCCGCGAGCAGCACAGCACGTTCTGTGCGGATTTCTCTGCCGCCCAAGCGAGCAGGACGTCAGCGACGGTAAATCTGCCCGCAATTAGCACGAGGGCGCCTCGCGGCTGGACGTGCGAACTAACGAGCTACGAACTGCAACACGCAGCTAAAACCCCATTTCCTTTCTCCGCTTCCTGCGGGTCCAGGCTGCCCTGTGGGTAGCGTGCGGCCTAGGAGCTGGGAGACCACGGAGTGAATCTCTGCTGGGGAAGCACTTTGGATCTTTGTCCCCGTGGAACAGAGACTAGAGGCGCAATCGCCCCGCCCCGCCCGGGTGCCGTGAGGTCACAGCATTGCAGCCTGGGAGGTGCTAGAGCCAGTGCTGGGAGCCAGGTGAGCAGAGCAGAAAGCGTCTCTCATGCCAATATTCCACCAGGGCCTTGGGAAACAGGCTGCTCTTCTGCTAACGCCCACGGGGTCCCTCTGGGTTAGCAACACAGGCAAGAGGAACCTGAGGAAGTTAGGCAACCAATGGGGTTTGGGCACCGACCTCCTTGCAACATTCCCAGTGATCCCTCCTGTGATGGGGTGTCCAGAGCACACCTGCCGCACAGCCATGCGGGGCCAAGCACCGCGTCCGGGAGAACCCTACAGGTGCTGGGCCAAAGAGGGAGCTCAGAAGGCACCTGAGCCTCCCCTGGGGGCAGCAGATGAGTGAGCCAACAGCCCATGGAGGGGGCAGCCTACTTGTGGATGGGCCATCAGTGGAAGCCATCTTGTCCCCTCGCTCGGGGGAGCCGTCCCCATCCCGACAAAGGGCCGCAGGAGCTGGCCACCATGCGCTGCTCCCAAGCACGTGTCGCTGGACGAGAGTGAGCGGAGAAATCCATTTGTCTCGGTGTCGCTGGGTGAGACGGGCTCCATCCAACAGCCCCTGCGCAGTGCACACTCGGGTTTCACCGTGTGCGTGGGGTCTCCAACCTCACCAGAAAGCTGGAGTGGAGGCCTAGCCATGAGCGCACAAGACACTCCCTTTCCACGCACCGCGAATGCCAGAGCTGCACCGCACACTCATTTGCACCACTTCCTCGTGGCACGTATCTGCCAGGGCACGTCCTGTGCGCCACGCACGTCGAAAGTCATTGATTAATTCGCCCCTCCCGCTCCTGCCCCGGGATGTGTCCATCATTTTAGCCATTTTCTACTCGGGACTGTCAACATAGTCGTCGTTTCCCAGCAGCACTGAGTGAATCACGTCCGGCTGTAAAATAAACATGCAGCAACCGAGGAAGCACACGCGATGAGTGGGGATAAATGAAGCCCGTGGTATGAAACTAAAATGACACACTGCTCTGTAGAAGGAAAATCAAACCCTGGAGAATCTTCTGCAGCAGATGTAGCAAGGCCCAAGGTGTGAGGACGAGAACGCAAGAGGCTGCCATAAAGATTTCATGGTGGTTAACTAAGAACATCAAGACTTCTGCAGTCTGGCAACCCCCTTTTTTAATGCAGGAGAAATGGAGAGGCCTTTTCACATCTGCAGGGGACAGTTGCTTTCAGAGATTCCCGTGTAACATGGACGACATCGTCTGAATTCACAAAGAAAATTTAACTACAAAAAAAAGTGCCGAGGTTGATAACAATGTTACACATTTTATTTCTGGGAATGTGCCCATTCTAAAAATGCAAATGTACTCGCGATCCTCCCTGCTGATTGCCTTCCACACAATAAGACGGCAGACGTTTTTAATGAACCCTCTCCCCCTTAGCAAATGCCAAGTTAGCTTTAAGAAAAAAGGTCACATTTGGAAACGATTGCTTATCTCTTGGTGACATTCACATGCAGTGCCAAGCAGAGCATGGGCTGTAACATCGTGTGTGTGTGTGTGTGTGTGTGTGTGTCCCCGTCCGTCCGTCCGTCCCTCCGGGGGGGCGTGGAGCAAAACGCAATGCATAGGCTGAGCTATGGGAGGAGGAGGAGGAGGAAGAGGGCTGCTGGTTCCCGAGAGCTGGATACACCCGTAGAACCGACCCGTTCTCTCTTCCTCCCTTGCTGCGGTCCGACGGCTGCCGTTTAACCACCACGTAAATGGGCCCCGGCTGCCCCGCTCCCAGAGCTCGTCCTGGGACCTGCGCTGCTCTCCCAGCTCCCAGCGACGTTCGGCGGCACCCAGGGCTGTTTGCGGGAGGGGAACGTGTGCTCAGAGCGGCACCTCCTTGCCCATGGCTTGTCCCTGAAGGCCGGCCAGCAAGTTGCTGGCAGCTAAGGCGGCCATGGCGTTGCGGGTAGCGAGCGTGGCGCTGGCGATGTGGGGCAGAATCACTGCGGAGAGAAAGGGAACAGCGTCCAGAGAGAGCGTGGCTGGGGGCCGGGCCCTGTGAGAGCAACCGAAGGGCCGGCCCCCTGCGACTGCTCCTGCCCTGAGCGCCTGCGCCAAAGCCGGGTCAAGGCACCAGGCCCCCGCTGCATCTGGCTCCTGGCAGGGCCCTCCCCTCACAGCCGCACGTGCGGGGGGATGCGGCCTGCCTGCAGCGGCTGCCAGAGGGGAAGCGCAGCCGGTGTGGCGGAGGCGGGGAGTCGGGCTCTTCGCAGACGGGGCTGCAGGGCTGGCAGGAGACGAGGCCTCCCAGCTGCGTGTTGTCTGCATGCAAGTCACACCACACCCCCCCGCCGCTCTGCCTGCCCGCTCCCTTCGCGGGCAGGGGGTTGAAATTTACACGGCGGCGGCAGGGTTTTAGAAGGATTTTTCAAGCTAAGAGGATGTTAGTCAAATCCTGCCGGATTCTTGTAAATGTCACTCCCTCGGCGGCTCAGCACAGAGCAGGCAAAGCGACCGGAGCGATGGCATAACGTGCAGGGACGTCCCTGCCCGGCGCCTGTGGGTGTGCGGGGCAAGGAGAGGGCGCGTGGTTATTGGTAACACGGCCTAGAAGAGTGCATTCCTCTAGCTAGCCACTGCCTTTTCCAGAGGAGCACTGCTCCGTCCACACCACCACACACCAGCGTGAGTAGCAGCTGTCTGGTCAGAAATCAGGCCAAAGGTCCATCCAGCCCCGTGTCCTGTCTGCCAGAGCCGGGTGCCCCAGAGGGAATGAACAGAACAGGAAATCAAGTGATCCACCCACTGCTCCCCCACCCCCATCACCTACTCCCAGCCTCTGACAGACAGAAGCTAGGGACACCATCCCTGCCAGTCTTGGCTAATTGCCATTGAGGGACCTAACCTCCATGAACGTATCTAGCTCTTTTTTGAACCCTGTTAAAGTCCTGGCCTTCACCACATCCTCTGGCGAGGAGTTCCACAGGTTAACTGTGCGCTGAATGAAGAAAAACTGCCTGTGGTTTGTTTTAAACCTGCTGCCTGTTCATTTCATTTGGTGACCCCTAGTTCTTGTGTTATGGGAACAACTTTTCCTGATTCACTTTTTCCGCACCAGTCATGATTTTATAGACCTCTCTCCTATCCCCCCTAAGTTGTCTCTTCTCCAAGCTGAAAAGTCCCCATCTTATTAACCTCGCCTCATGTGGCAGCTGTTCCATACCCCTCGTCATTTGTGTTGCCCTTTTCTGACCCTTTTCCAATGCCAGGAGATCTCTCTGGAGAGGAGGCAGTATTCCAGATGCGGGCGTGCCCTGGATTTACACAGAGGCAGTAAGATGTCCTCTGTCTTATTCTCTGTCCCTTCCTTAATGAGTCCCAATGGCTCATTTGACGGCAGCTGCACGCTGGGTGGAGGTTTTCAGTCCCATAGCTCTTAGTTCCCCAGTTGCCGTACTCGGCCACTCCTCCGCAGGAGCTTGCAGCACAGACTCACCGCAGTTTTTAAGTTGAAAAAGCGGGTGGTCTGTAGGCAGAGGCTCAGGCTCTGTGACATCCAGACCAGCAGCTGCAATCTGACCATTGACCAAGGCCTGGTACAGATCTTCCTGGTTCACTATGCCGCCCCTGGCGGGAGAAGAAAAACAAAGCATCTATCAACTTCTGGGCATCTCTGTGGAGCGGTTCTAGCAGCTAAGAGCCTTAGCTAGCCGGTGAAAGCTTTCGCAGCGGGGCTGGATAACGCTGGAGTACACAGCGGTCTGATCTTAAGGCTTCTTTATTATCAACTTGGAGGCCAGCGGCTTACAGTGCTGTCCTCTGGCACGATTCTTACGCTCTTCTATGTGGGATCAGCTTATCTAATGAGACCAAATCCTCTGGGGGGGATTTGCCTGTGTCATGACACATCTCCCACCATCAGCGCGCTGTCGGATTACACCAACTTAAGCCTTTTATTTTTAATAATTGCTTGAAAGTTGATTTTATTTTAGTGAGCTGGGACGCTGGTCGAGTCGGGAATGTCAAACCCGTCTCCCTCTGCGCTCGCGGAAGGCTTTGCATCAGACGTTTACCTTCTCCAGCGTGACACCCGCGTGTCTATCTCGCTGAGCCTGGCGCTCAGACGCTCCTTTCCCTCCCGGCCCGCCTCGCTCACCTGCTGGTATTGACAAAGACGGCCGTGTCCTTCATGCGGGAGAAGAGGCGGTGGTCACAGATGCCGCGGGTGGCAGCAGTTAAGGCGCAGCTCACCACGATGAAGTCCGAATGCTGAGCCAAGTCATCCAGTGGCACTGCTCAGAAAGGCGACCGAATGAACAATCGAAGCCACACACCACCGAAAAACGCACCCGATTGACCTTTGCACTGAGTCGCTCGGAGCCCACAGAGAACAGACCCACCGAGAAAGAGGCTTGGGCCCCAGGAGAGAGGCTCTAGAACAGGAGTCGGGTGGGGGCGTGCGCTCACAACCAAACTACAGATGGACCATGAGACGTTTGTGAGAGGGAGGATGTGATGGGATTGACGGTGATGGCAGGGAATGGACTTGATGTCCCATGTCCCTCACCTGAATATTCTTGTGGGTTCAAAATGGACTGAGATCAGACCTCAGAGATGGTAACACACGGAAACCTGTCGGGAACATGATAACCTGCATGGGCACTCAGTCGTGGATTTAAAAGTAGCCGTTCTTCTACAGAGGAATTTCGCTAGCCAGTGACAGGGAGACACTGCAGAACTGGAATTCAGATCCTACACCCTGGGCATGAATAAAGACATTAACTAGCTGGCACATTACAAAGCCAATTTCTCCTGCCTTTAACATCCACATGTCCACATCAAAAGCTATGAATGGGACACATCCAGCCCACTTCATTAGCCTCCTTAACCTGGGTCCTACCTACAGGTACTACTTCTGCTGGGATATAGATCTCTTGGTTTCTCTTATTTCCACTCCCATTGGAAGTGGGTTTTGCCCACGAAAGTTCATCATCCTGTACATTTGTGTTCATCTCTAAGGTTCCACAGGACCACTCGTCATTTCAAAATCTTTGGTGTTTCCAGTGATGCAATGTGTTTACAGGATATTTGCAGAAAGAGCCAATTTACTGCGTTGGAGTCTGCCAGCCCGGCCGTTGGGGCAAACTCTTCCTGTGCGTAGCGTCAGGATAAAATACAGCAGGCGTGGGGCGACTGATCACTCTTCATTACGTCTGTGCTCAGTGACTTGCCTGAGCTTTGGCGCAAGCGCGTCGTTGGCAGTATGCTGACGTGACAGGCTGCCCCTTGGAAATGATCCTAAAGGGCGTGAAGCGAAATCGAGAGGAAGGAAAACCTTTTACACGCCTGCTTAACCAAACCTCTTCTCTGGCTTTAAGGGATAGCACCAGCTCTACTGGTGTGACCGGGAATCTCGCCAAATGGAGGGGTTTTCTTAAAGCCCCAGCTCCTGGAGTCAGGGGAGTCCATGAGACTCGGAGCTGTCACTTCAGACTGTTACAAAACCCCTATTTCTGGGTCTGGTGTGTGCGGGAAAGGTGACTCCCTGGCTCACAAACCACAAAGCAACTACAAAGACCCAGCCTCATCGGATTTTTACATCTCGCCCTTTCTACACCACTATTTTGTTGGGGGGACTTCTGATTGGTGATTTTTACATGGGGGTGTTCTGCAAGGACGGCCGGTGGGAACCCCAGTCTGTCTCTATTTGTAATCGAAACCCTCCACGTGCTAGGCAGGAAGTTCCCTAGACAGGCCGTTAGGAAAACAGGTTTCTTGGCAGGCCCGGCGCTGTATTGACGAGGTGAGACCCCGGCCGGAGGTCTCCACTCGAAAAACGCTCCGTTCCAGCTTACCACACTCGGCCGGGATCTTGCTGGCCACATCGGGGCGTGGGTCAGTGTCAGCGTAGAGAAAGCTCTTGACTCCGAACGGCTTTAGCCTGGCTGCAACAGCTGCTCCTAGAACGGGGGAGTACCTGCTGTGAGTTCCACTGGAGCCCGGCTCGTCCACTGCGCCAACTCGCCCCCTCTGCAGGGGCAGGAATCCCCAAGGGGACTTTCCTTTACCTCTTCACTTGGGGACAGGGGCCCCCGAGAACTGCCCCCGTGTCTGGCCCAGGAACCGACTGGATTTGGTATTCAATAGCCTGGCAAGGGAGCGCCACTGTCACCCTGCTTTCTTGGGGTGATGGCAAAGAGCCCTAAGAGCCATCACCTGGCTCCCCCCTGAGCACTCAGCAATCACCAGCTCGTCCTTGTGGCAACCCGACGGGGGAGTGTGTCAACAGGATCAGGTCCTCCACCCGCCCTCCAGTTGGGGAAACTGAGGCAAAGAGCCTGTGCTATTAAACCTCGGGACATAACTCCAGATTTAGGTAGCTAATGTCAGAGGTGCTGGTCACCTCCTAACCCAATTGCTGCCAAGGTGCAAAGGCAGCAAATGCTTTTACTCTGCACTGTTCGAGAGGGCAGGCTTCACCCCTGTGGCTTGACTAGGGCGTATGTGGCATTTAGTGGGGTTTGAAGAGATTTTAGCAGTTCAAGAGATGAAATAGCCACAGAAGGCTACAAGGTTCTCCACTGCCCGGCCCTTTCTGTGGATCTCTGAGAAGCAGAGCTGAGTGAGCGAGTGATGTTTTTGGCAGGGGGCTGAAAGAAACTGGTTGGTTTCAATCCACAGCTACATTTGGTTGTTGTTTCTCTCACGGTGGGGAAAGAAACAGAAAAGTAACTTTGGGTTCACCACATTTTATTTGACCTGAAAACAACTTTTTACCAGTTTTTCATTTCATTTTGGGTCATTTTCGGGAGTTTGAAATCCTCCCTTTTGTTTTTTTAAGTAGCTAAATGTCTAAATGAACCATCGCGTCAAACAAAAAGTCTAAATGTTTTCTTTCAAAATGGCCAAAATGAACCATTTAACTTTTTTTTTGGGGGGGGGGGAGGCCATTTTTGGTTGAGACTATTTGCTAGATTTGACCAGAATTCTCAGCTAGTTTCACTGCCTCCCAAAAATGCATTTTCTGGAGCAAATGTATTGTGCTCTACTGACAAATGTGCAGAGTGTAGAATGCCACGTAAGAATTCTTCATTCCTGTACACAAGCGGTAGTGACACTGGGCAGGTAGAAGCGATCTTACGTTGCAACCTAGGAGAGTTACCTATTCAGTATCAATGCCTGAAATCTAGATCCACCTGCCGTTGGAGCATTTGAAACAGAGAAACAACAAAATGGAAGCACTTAGTGGGGTTTTTATTCGAACGGATCCAAAAAGAAAACTATTCCTTCAAGCTGTTTCAGCATGTTTTCTTCTGTCTCAACCTTTGAATTGCCCCTGCCCAGCACTGCAGAAAGCCGCTGTATTAATGTTTGCAAAATTGGCCATTTTTTAAATGGGAAACTCTAAACTGTTGGCCAGGTCTACGCTGTGTACTAACTGATATAGACACAAGAGCTGTTAAAACAAAGCAACTGCCTGGGTTTTCCATTTGGTGAGTTTTAAAAAATGCTCCCATTTGAACTCGAATTCTGATTTTTGGGTGTCATTTCAGCCATTGGTTAAAAACGCAAAGCCATGAACACAGAGCCCCTGCGGGCCAGCCGTGCGCGGACACGCCCTGGGGAGTCTGCAACTTACCTATTCTGCCAAGTCCGAGAATCCCCACGGTGCTGTCCGCCAGGCCAGCGCCGCACATCCACAGAGGTTTCCAGGTGCCCCAGCCACAGCTGGCAAGGAACATTGGAAGCGGCGTCAGGCGCGCCCCGCAGAACACGCGCCCTTCGCCGGCTCTGGGGAGCGGACCCCCCTGCTCCGCTCCGGGTGCATGTTCCATGGGCGTTACCAGCGGGGATCGCGCCCCGCAGTCCTGTCCCCGGGCTGAGCCTGGAACGTGTTTCTCTCCCTCCCGCAGCTGGTCTGGCTCGCGGCCTGGGCCGGGCCCCCTAGGATCCGGGGCGCTGCGCCGAGCTATGAAACGGGCGCTGCGCCCCGGGGCAGGCGGTGAATTTCTCGCGCGGTGACTGCGCCCCGGTGAGCCAGGCTGCGAATGCTGCACGACGGGCCAAGGGCCGTGCGTCCCCGGGTGGCCACTGGCCAGGGAACGGCCCCATTGCCACGAGCCCGGCTCCCCACGGGTGCGGGGGCTGCTCCCAGCTGGGCAGGCGTGTGGCGCGGACGTGCCTCGCTCCGCTCCGGGGGAAGCCGCGCCACAGGGCAGGGGTGGGGAGAGGCGGGGCCCCGATGCAGCCGCGTATTGTGCGCGGGGCTCCGCGTGGCTCCGCGCCTGGCCCGACACAGCGCGCACCGCCCCCCGCCGTGCCCGGGGAGGGGAATCACTTCTTCGCTGCCTCCGCGGCTTCCAACAGGCGGCGGGACGTGGCCAGGAGAAGAGCCACCGTGAGCTCCGCGACCGCTTCGGTCAGCACGTCCGGCGTGTAGCCCAGTCGGACTCCCCTGCACCGGGAGAGAGCACGAGCCAGCGGGCTCCGAGAACTGCCCCGCCCGCCCCAGAGCGCAGGGCAGGCAGGCCCCGCCGCAGCGGGCCCGGTCTCTCCAGGGCCCGAGGCGAGACGGGGTCACACAGAGCCCCGCCCTGGGGAGAGGCTCCATTGGGTCTGGGTCTGGGGTTTTCCAGGGAACATGGTGACTGCCCCCCCCCCGGGCCGCCTGCCGGGGCTTGGGGCTGGGCCCTGGGGCAGGGAGGGCGAGCCTGGGCTGCAAGGGGAAGGGGCTGCGCACGAGGGCGGGCGGACAGATGCGGGGCAGTTCTGGCTCCGATACTGTTCGGGGCTCACTACTAGTGTGCATGCCCGTCTGCCTGTGCCTCTAACCTCCCAGGAGGGGCGCAGCTCTGGGGAGACAGCAAGGCCCCCCCTTCGGGAGATGGGGGAAGCCACAGGGGTCACCCAAGTGAGGGAGCCCCGGGACTAGCTCCGGGCCTGCTGTCCTGCAGCGCCCAGGGACGGCAAGGCGGCTCGGCTGGCTACCGCCCCAGGCTGACCCTGTGCAGGGGCCCCAGCCTCCAAGCCCAGGGCCTCCCCGCTCGTCTTGCGGACAGGGCCAGCCCGGGAGGGGCGTGGGGGCAGTGGCTTCCCTGAGGCCCTTGGCTTTGGCGCCGTCGGTCGCCCTGCCGGAGGAGAGCCTGGGTCCCAACAGAACAAGCGGCTGCCCAGGCATTTCTCCCGCGTGGGGCGCGGCTGCAGCAGCGTTACCTCTTCTTCAGCTCCTCCAGAGACACGTGGTCGTAGCCCACCGACATGGTGCTGACCACCTGCAGGCTGGGCCCTGTCGTGGGAGAACAACGGGACGGTGGCTCACGCCCTGGCAGTGTGGGCAGCTCCGGCTCCAGGACTCCACGGGGAGACACCGCACAGGGGCACGGCTAGGGGACGGGGGCCCACGTCCAGGGAAGGCCGGACCGCAAAAGGGGCTGAGTCTGCGCCAGCGAGACCGAGCTGAGGGGAGATTTTCCTCACGCCCCAGAGGCGGCCTCCGAGGCCAGCGGTGGAATCCCCATCACTGGAGATTTCTAGGGACAAGTGGGACAATCGTGCGCCCGGGATGGGCCAGATTCAGCGCAGGGGGCTGGACTGACGACTTCCTGAGGTCCCTGCCACTTCATTACTCTAGTGCCCTTCCTTTACTCCTCCTGGGAGCCATCCTGCGGCTCCCCCAGCCAGGGCACAGGGACTTCTCTCTGCTCCTCCGCACCCTTCCCGTCTCCTCTCCGCACCGCCCTCGGACTGCTCGCTCACATCCCCGCCGCCTTGCTCCTGCACCTCCCAGGGCGAGGGGCGTCAGATTCGTGCAACCGAGGATAAAAGCCTACCACCGCGGCTGGCAGACGAGCTGGCGCCTTTAGCTGCCTGCATCGGATTGGAACAGGATCCCCGTCTTGAAGCGATTTTACCAGTCATCCCCCAGCTACCCCCACGGACCCGCGCTACCCAGCCAAGCGGCAGGGTGCATGCCGACCCCGAGCGAGATCAGGGAAAGGCCACCCGCAAGGCAGGCCCAGGGACAGCTGCCTCGCCGACTGATCCCGGCACAGAGGCCTCACTGGCTGGGGACTCGGATTGGAACAGGATCCCCGTCTTGAAGCGATTTTACCAGTCATCCCCCAGCTACCCCCACGGACCCGCGCTACCCAGCCAAGCGGCAGGGTGCATGCCGACCCCGAGCGAGATCAGGGAAAGGCCACCCGCAAGGCAGGCCCAGGGACAGCTGCCTCGCCGACTGATCCCGGCACAGAGGCCTCACTGGCTGGGGACG